TTCAAAATCCACCACCAGTAGAAATTGGACTTCATCCAACAACACAACAAGTGATAAGACGAGCAATAGAGAAACAAAAGACAATGGGAGATACATATCTTGCAGTTGATGTGATAGTAATGTCATTGATGGAAGAGAAAGAAATTAGTACGATAGTAGGAAATAGTGGAATTAATGTTCTGGAATTTAACAAAAAGATAATGGAAATGAGAAAAGGACAAAGTGTAGAAACAAAAGAAGCAGAGAGTCAATATGAAGCATTGAAGAAATATGGAAATGATTTAACGGCACAAGCAGAAAGTGGGAAGATGGATCCCATCATTGGAAGAGATGAAGAAATTAAACGAGTTATTCGTATTTTATCAAGACGAACGAAAAATAATCCAGTCTTAATAGGAGAGCCAGGAGTTGGTAAAACAGCAGTAGTTGAAGGACTTGCACAAAGAATTGTTAAAGGGGATGTTCCAAGTAATTTGCAATGTCGAGTTATTGGATTAGATATGGGAGCATTAATAGCAGGAGCACAATATAGAGGACAATTTGAAGAAAGATTAAAAGCAGTAATAAAAGAAGTTAAAGAAAGTAAAATACCTATTATATTGTTTATAGATGAAATTCACACAGTATTAGGAGCTGGAGCAACAGGAGAAGGAGCAATGGATGCAGCTAATATTTTAAAACCAATGTTATCAAGAGGAGAATTACGATGTATTGGAGCAACAACGTTAGAGGAATATAGAAAATATGTTGAAAAAGATCCAGCATTTGAAAGACGATTCCAACAAGTTTATGTAAGTGAACCAAGTGTAGAAGATACATTATATATTCTTCGAGGAATAAGAGAGAAATATGAAAATCATTATGGATTAACAATTACGGATTCAGCATTAGTTTCAGCAGCAACATTAAGTAAAAGATACATCAATGGAAGATTTCTTCCTGACAAGGCAATTGATTTAGTTGATGAAGCATGTGCTACATTATTTACACAAAAGAATTCACAACCAGAAGAAATAGATAGATTAGAAAGAAGAGAAACACAAATAAATGTGGAGAAAATAGCATTAGAAAGAGAAGTTAAAGAAACGGATGAAGAACATAAAAAAGTTATTGAAGAAAGACTTAAAGAAATTGAAAAAGAAATGAGTGAAAATAAAGAGAAATTAACAAAGTTACGAATTAATTATGAGAAAGAAAAAGGAGGAAGTGAAGAAATGAAAGAACTTGCAACAAAAATAGAAAGTATGAAACATAAAGCAGAAAGTACTAAAGATTTAGAAGTAGCAGCTGATTTGAAATATTATGCAATACCAGAAGCAGAAAAGAGATTGGCAGAATTAAAGAAACAAAATAAAGAAACAACAATGATATCATTACAAGTCACAGCAACACAAATAGAAGAAGTTGTGAGTAGATGGACAGGAATTCCAGTTACTAAAATGAATCAAAGTGAGAAAGCAAGATTACTGAACTTAGAAAGTGAAATACATAAACGAGTAATAGGACAAGATGAAGCAGTGACAGCAGTTAGTGATGCAATCATTAGAAGTAGAGGAGGATTAGGAAATGAAAAACGACCAATAGGAAGTTTTATGTTTTTAGGACCAAGTGGAGTAGGTAAAACAGAATTAGCAAAAGCATTAGCAGCTGAATTGTTTGATTCAGAGGAAAATATAGTTAGAATAGATATGAGTGAATATATGGAAAGTCATAGTGTGTCGAGACTGATAGGAGCACCACCAGGATATGTTGGATATGAAGAAGGAGGACAATTAACAGAAGCAATTCGTCGTAGACCATATAGTGTAATATTATTTGATGAAATTGAAAAAGCACATCCACAAGTATTTAATGTGTTATTACAATTATTGGATGAAGGAAGATTAACAGATGGAAGAGGAAGAACAGTTGATTTTAAGAATACGGTTGTGATTATGACATCGAATTTAGGAAGTGAAATAATAATGAAAGGAGTAGAAACAACAGGACAAGTTGATGAACAAGTTAAAGAACAAGTCATGGAAATAGTGAAGAAGTCGTTTAAACCAGAGTTTCTCAATCGAATGGATGATATTATAGTATTTTCACCACTTTCAGAGAAAGAATTGAAAGAAATAGTTAAATTACAAATGGGAGAAGTGATTAAAGTCATTAAAAAGAGATATCCAGGAAGTGAAGTTGAAATGACGGAAGCAGCAATAGAAGGAATCATTAAAGCAGGATATTCAATAGCATATGGAGCAAGACCAATGCGAAGATATATTGAAAAGACAGTTGTTACAGAAATAACAAAATCAATAATAGGAGGAGTGATGAAAGAGAAGAGTAAAATTAAGATAGGATATGAAGATGGTAAGATTGAAGTTAAAATAACTGATAACTAAAAAGGATAATAATATAATTGAATGTATTTTATAAAAGAAATAGGTTGAAAGAGGTTGAAAGAAAAAGGAAGAATAATATAAAAGACAATCAATTGAATAATAATGTTTATTTTTAATGTGAATAATATTTCTTTAAATACTAATGTATTTTCATTCCAATTACCAATATTTGAATTAGATAACGTTTTTATCGTCTATTCTTTTGTTTCTTCTATTTGTTATTTTACTGGATATTCCTTTAAATTCTTTTACTTTCTTGATTTACTCTAATTCTATTTTCTGTTTATTCTTCTTTTATTTCATTTTCAATTATTTTCTTCTTTCTTCTATTTCCATCACTTTTAACGATGATGTCAATATATTTTAATATTATTTCATTATTTTATGAATAATTTTATTGTTTCAATTTTCACCTTTCTTTGTTTTATCTAATACTAATACACCCGTCTTTAATTTCATTTCCAACTACTTCACTTCTTCTATCAATTTCTTTCTTTTCAATTATAAATTAGATATTTTTCAATTTCATTTGAATTATTGATTATTCTTCTTTAATTTCATACAACTGTCAATAAATTCTATTTTTTTTCATTGTGTTGTTGTTTTATTCTTATCACTGTTTTTATTTTTATTTTTTTCTTCTTTATCTATTTTATAGACTTATGTTTTGTTTAACCACATTCTTCTTTTATTCTCTTTTTTGTTGGTTAGTTAATATTTTTATTTTTATCACACTTCTTTCTGATTAGATTTTTCTTATTGTCTTTATTTTTATTTCCTTCTTATATTATTATTTGTTTTCTTTAAGTGTGGTAATTAGGGTACGAAAATTAGCAAAGAAAAAATGCATCTAAATAATTTGCAAAAAAGAAAAAAGATGCAAAAAAATTTGCATCCATAGAATATTCCATTTATTATATTTTGCTCATAAAATAAAAATAAATAAAAAATAAAAAATATGATAAATACAGAATATGTAAATATTTATGTTTATATTTTATTATCATTTGTATTCATTTTGTATGAAATATTAATGAAATAGATGATTTGATGAATCATATTTAATTATTTTTATTCTTTTTATTCTTTTATTTATATGTTATTTATCTATCGTATTTTTATATATTTATTTCTCTGTTTATATTATTTATCTATCATCTTCTTATTATCTATATATTATTATATTATTATATTCTTCTTATTTTATGTTTTTATGTTTATATTCTTTAGATTTTCTTATTGTTATTCTTTTATATTTAAATGTATTTTATTATTTGTTTATTCATCTTTATCATTTTTATATTATTATCATTTATATCTATTTTCAATTTATATTTATTCTCTTTTGATTTATATTAATATTAATTTTATCTTTTATACTTTGATTTTATTATTATATCATTGATTATCATTTCTCCTTTTATTTATCATTTATTCTTATTATTCTTTTGTTTTATATTCTATCTATGTTATATATTCATATCATTTTCATTTATATTTTATCACTTATTATATATTATAATAACATAACACATATGATTGAATATATAATAAACATCATGTTTAAATTATACATATAAATAATAAACATAAAAAAGAGTAAAATATTTTTCAATAATAAAATATTGTTAATCATTTTACACAATTAAATTAGACACTTATTATTGAATATTTCTAATTTTTACATTAAAATTACACTTTTTATTTCTTCTTTTATTATCTATTCTATTTTATTACTCTTTATCTTCTTCTACTTTTTCTTAGTTTCATAATTTTATTTTTCATCACCTTCTACTTCTTATTTCTTTTTATTCTTTTATATCTTTCTCTTCTTTTTCCATTATTTGCTTTTTTCGTTGCCCTTTTTAAGAAATAATCAATTAGTTTAAGTAGCATGAACCAGTAGTTTCATTATAATCATAACTTACTATACTGAGAACATTAGAGAATGTGAAATCACCTAAGATTCTTTGAAGACCAAATGGCATATTATTTAATAGGATCTGTAGATAATCATTATATTCAATAGAAACAATAGGATGATTAATAGTAAGTGAGGAGTAAGCATTTTCTCCAAATAAGAAGAATGAGTCATTAAGATTAAATGACAAACTACTTTCTAATGGAACTTGAATTTGACTCTCACTTGTATTACAGTACATAATAACGTCATATTTTGTTTTCTTATCATTAATTAGAAATAAGAATCCTATTCCATATATCTTTTCATTAGTATTATCATTATTATCATTATTATCATTATTAGATAATTTAACATTAAATCTTAGGTCATAATTAGCCTTTGTTCTAAATAATTCAGTCTTTAAACTAGTCATATCAACATTGATTTAAGATGTGTTACTATTCTCTACTATTGCTGTAGCACTTTTCATATTAGTAGGATCAAATTGAAGAATCTGGTCCACTTTATAGACAGTGATATTTCCAGCATAATCATTTATATCAAAGTTCTTTGCTGTAGGTTTTGGAGTAAGTCCACTTCTTCTTGTGGATGCTAGTGTACGTCTTGATCTCATAATTTTTCTTAGTTTTAGTGAAAAAGAAATAAAAGACAAAGAATAGATTAATTAGATTCTAGTACTATCAATGAATATCTTATATGAGACTGAAGATACATAACATGATAGTTAAATAACCAAGTATTATTTGAGCTTTATTCTCAACATGGTTATAGTTATAGTCATAATCTAAATTTAATCCTGGTAATTCATTTTTTGAAGGATCAATATAAAATACATTCTGAGGATATGTTAAACAAACATTTAAGTCGGTAGTGAAATTACTAACAAGGTCTAAACAAGATGAGTCAGAGTATTCCCTACCTTGGATTGTATTCTTTACTATTGTAAAATTCCACCATCTTCCATTCAGAGGAAAACAGAATTTCTTTTTATTAAGAATATATTGTAAGTTTTTACATCCTTGATCATAATAGAGATAAATAAGAAAATAAGAGTCTCTGATTTCATCAACAGTAGAATAGTTAATTTGAAGAGTACGGTTTTCAATTGGATTAATTGCATTTTTACAGTTTTCCATAGTAGCATAAGAAGTGAAATTCATATGTGTATTGTTGTTATAAAAGAAATAAGCAGCATAATCAGTAAAACCAATACAACTATTAAGAGGATAATATTCAGTTTGATATTCATTACTAACATATTTAAAGTACTTGTATGATTTCTCCTCATTTCTAGAATTAAGTACATTGTCTTGTGCATCAATAATATCATAGAGATATCTTCCTTCAACATTAATAACTGTTAAAATAATAAAAAAAAACATTGAACAAATCTTAGTGGTAATCTATCTTATTTAGTTTAAGGGTATTATTAGATGGGTACGAAAATTAGCAAAGAAAAAATGCATCTAAATAATTTGCAAAAAAGAAAAAAGATGCAAAAAAATTTGCATCCATAGAATATTCCATTTATTATATTTTGCTCATAAAATAAAAATAAATAAAAAATAAAAAATATGATAAATACAGAATATGTAAATATTTATGTTTATATTTTATTATCATTTGTATTCATTTTGTATGAAATATTAATGAAATAGATGATTTGATGAATCATATTTAATTATTTTTATTCTTTTTATTCTTTTATTTATATGTTATTTATCTATCGTATTTTTATATATTTATTTCTCTGTTTATATTATTTATCTATCATCTTCTTATTATC